ATTATTATGCAATTGTTCGGGGTAATCTACATCCTCGTTCAGTATATATCCAATAGATGTATTATCATCTATTGTAGTAACGTCTAATGTAAAATCATTATACCACCCAAAAATTTTGTATAGTCGTAAGCTTGCAAGCATTGATTTTCCGTAAAGGTTAACACAATCAAAATACGTTAAATAAACATGTGGTTTTTTTTCGTTGTAATTAATTCCATCAACATCRGGTAGATAAGCTCTGGCATAACGTCTTACAGATTGACATACCCCCCCCCCTCTTATTCCATTCTCTATTTTGAGAAGCATTGAATACTCTTTTAACTTTTCAAGTATTATTCCAGTATAACATAACATTGCGTAAAATTTAAAACCAGGTGCTGTCAAATAAGAGGCGTCTAAATTAAAAGTTTTCAAACAAATATCTCTAAAATGTTCAAATACATCATCTAGAATCAATATGTCAGTTAATAAATATAAATCACTATACTTTACTAGGGTTTTAGGGTTTTTATATTAAACTTCTTCCGAACATTGCATGCATGCATAAAATCTTTTTTAGAAATATGGTCATCTGTTAACAGTTAACGAATTATAAAATTTAACCCTGGATGGTAATTTTGTATCTTTAAGTTTCGATTTACAGTCTATATACTCATACGGAAATACACCTTTCCGGATAACTAAATCAATGTTTTCTGACGGAAAGTGATGGATAATTTCACGGAATCTTGTTTTATTTTCAGCCAAATTAGTAACTAAATTAGAGAGTGATTCTGACATGAACTTAAAAGTGTCTACAAATTTTACATAAAATTTATCTAAAATATGTTTACTAAATGACAAATATTTTTCGCCTGAGTTTGGAATAATGCGAATATCATTATCATTACAACCTAAGGTACGTACAATAAAATGACCTTCATACGCTAAATTATGGAAATATACTGGTATAAATTATGGTTTTTGTGCCAAAAAAATTGCAATTTAAGCATAAAGCCCTTAAATATTTCCCTGAAAGATGTGAATGGTCTCTAACTTTCAATACGGTTTCATTATTAAATGATTTCAAACAAAGTACACATTTTGATGAATTAATATATTGACTTTCTTCCTTTTTCGTTAATTTATTCATTGATTTATTAGTATTATATAGATAATAAATGTTAGTAGAAATATCAATTATAGTTGACATAAAATGCTTTGATGGATTTTTACCTCTATAAATTATCGGATTTCTAGGAATTTTAAATTTTTTTACTAATTCTTCCGGAATGATACTGTAATCGATCTTAACATATAGCCCATAACTCTTGGGTTTATGATAATGTGTGTTCTTAGCATTGTCTGTAATAATATTATTAATTGGTTTTAAAAAAAACATTCAAAATTGGCATACATTACAATAGGAATTTGGTTCGATCATAATGGGCCTACAAACTACAAAGTTTGTGTTTTTGGCAAATTACTTTATGACTATCAAGGCCATGCTGACCCCATGGCTTAGTTTTATTTGGATTATTACTAAAAGTCGTGAAACATTGCTTGTTACTTTAACCTGTATATAAGTAGGTAGTTGATAAGTTATTGGTTAAGTATTAAAAATTTTATAAATTGTAAAAATCGAAAAATATTTGTTGATTTGGTTACAAACGTTTTGTAAAATTATGTTTATATTTTTAAACCTATTGTCATTAATATTACCATTTATGTTTAATTTTTTTTTATATTACATGTACCTAATTCAATTGTGATCAGCTTAGTCATAGATTTATTACGATAAATTGTAAGTATTATGATTTTTGATATTGTAATTGTTTAATTATTTTTAAATTGAATTATAACAGTTACAATAACCTAATGGTGCGAAATGTTTATAATTTGATTTTTTATTGTTCATATTACATACAAACACATTTATGTTTTTTATTCAACTATAATATATTAAATATTGTTGCATTTTATAGTTAATTATTTTCATTTTGAAATTGTGTTATAAACATTTTTTTATTTCTTGTACATAATTATTTGTATTTCAGGTATTTAGTTTTTATAAGCCTGCAGATCAGTTATTATCCTGTGTTAGTAGATTGTCTATATTAACAGTCGATTGATTCTGTGGTAATAACACACTGATTAAGATGGAGTGTCACCTCAGGGGTCACTGATTTACTGTATTACACATTCACCTATTTATTTATCACGCAAAAATACTTACCGTATATACACCAAATTTTTTCACTATAGTCAAAATTATTTTTTATCAAATCTTACTATATAAAACTGAAATAATATTTCATGGAAATAAATAAATAATGATTTTTTTTTTATTGATACAAATTAGTTCTGAATTATAATTACACAAGTTTTTTTACTTCTCTAGTAAGAGGTACAATAGGTACATGATCATGGATTTAGATATATTCTATACCTAGTTGTTATAGACACGTATTTAAAATATATTTGGGTCACTGAAAAATTAGTCGGGTGATGAATATTGCACAAAAGCCGTGTCTAATCTATTGAAAAAAGCTAATCCAAAATTGTTGCAGACAGATAATGGCACAGAATTTTATAATAGTAAATTTCAAGATTTGATGAAAAAATATAAAATTAAGCATTTCAGTTCCTACACAGTGTTATCAAGTGTTCGATTTGTGAACGCGTTATACAAACTCTTAAAAATAATAAATATAGGCATTTTACTGCAACAGGCACATGAGATTGGTATAATACAATATCAACAATTATTATACAAACCTACAATAATACAAGACATAGTTCAATCAAATGTACCCCAAATGAAGCGCGAATGGATGCAAACAAAATTAAATTTAATGCAGATTTAAATGATAAAACCCTATATAAACCAAAATTTAAAGTTAATGATAAAGTAAGAATATCTATAAGTATAAACATGTATTTAGTAAAGGATATACCCCCAATTGGACAACGGAAATATTTAAAGTTTTAAAAGTCTTACAGACAATTCCAGTAACTTACCAACTAAAAAATGGATCAGACAATATAATCTTAGGTGGATTTTACGAACAGGAAATTAAGTTGACCGATTATCACGACACCTACCTCGTTGAATGTATTATAAAAAAAGTGGGGAATAAAATGTTTGTCAAATGGCTAGATTTTGATTCGAGTCAAAATTCGTGGATATCATCTTCGGATATTTTAAAATAAAGATATTTTATATGTTATGATTTTTAAAACAAAAAAAAATGTATAAGTTTTCTATAAAGTCAAATTAATTATTTTACATATTATTGTCCTTGAATAATGTAGACTGAATTCATTTTTTTTTTTTTAATAAGTAATAACTTGAAGAAGAAATGTATAGAAATTACTATAAAATTGGAGACTACGAAACACAACTTGTTTAAACAGCTAATTGTCAGTAACTGAATATAAAAAAAAAATAATCGACTTTTAAAATGCAATTATTGATAGCTTGTTTATCATTAAAAATTAATTGATGAGAACAAAAAGCGCTAACTAGTGGTCAATTAATCAATAATTATTATTATTATTGGTTGTGAAACTGAGTAAGATATCTCTTTTTTTTTGGTTAAAATTTTTCCGGGCGGACCTGTAAGCGGGAAAGTCTTGGATAACCGATTTGAAATCTTCCTGTAACAGCAAAAATCTTGGATAGAAAACACCCACAAATCTGATCGGTCAAGAGGGAAATTCGTGGATAACCGATTTGAAATCTCCCTGTAATTGTAAATCTGGGGTACAACAATTTATAATGATTAATGAATATATATTTACATATTAAGTACTATTAACGATTTACAATACTCCCAGGAAGCCGGAAATTACTTTCGTTAAAGTAGTGATCACTAGAATAATGTATATAATATGATGATATATTATGTCCCCAAAGTACAAACTAGATTTAATTTTCAGAAAGTGAAAACCTTTACACGTTTACACTACCTGAAAAGATACTAAAGAAAAAAATTAGAGCATTTTTGATGAATTAATCACAATCCACTATATTACTTAAACTAAATATTATTTCTCGATACTCGATACAATTGTTGATGACTTATTTTAATAAGCAATACATACATATTAGGTTAAAATTTTTGAAAGAGCTGATAAAAATTTATTGCTGATTGATTTATCCTCGGCAAAATAACTTGAAAGTATAATATAAGATCTTACATAGATTTGAAAATTTAAAATTATTTTGCTTAACATATTTTGAATATTCAAATTTCATACCTGAGGTTGGAAAATTTAATAAAAGTTTGCTGATAAGTAGTTCATGCTGAAATAAAAAAATAAAATATTGTATAGGCTTGAAATTCATATTTAGACTGTACTAGATATTCAGACATAGAATATTTCACTTTTTATTGGGATGTTACTACAAAACATAGATATGTTTTTAAGTTTTAATTTACTCCTAATTATTTTGGTAAATAAATAAATAGATTTTTTAGTGATCGCTTAAAAGTTACCACACCGAAAAAAAGTTCAAGCGTTCAAACATTTAATTTTCGTTACAGAATCTTCACGACTGCGTGTTACTGAGATTTAAAAACATGTTTAATTACATGTTTAAAAAATGTGCCTCGCACTCGCTCACACGCATTGTACATTTTAAGCAGTATTATCATAAGGATAACAATAAAAAAATGGTAACAACATAATATTACAATATCATATCAAGTGTGACCATTATTCCATTAACCATACAGCACAAGACGTGTAAATGTATAATAATAACGCTAGCAAGTTGATCGCGGCGCCCATGTGTGCGTACCGCGTAAGCGACGCGCACACCGACTATCGGCGGCTTCCGCAATCGTTTCATTGTTGTTCGCTTTCTTTTCGTACGTCGACCACACCACCGCGACCGCCGCGCCCGTCGACGCTTCCGCCCCGCCACCGCACCCGTTGACCCATCACACACCGCCCCGCCGACCGACCATGGTGAGCCCGATCACTGATCACTGCCGTCAGTCGAGTGACTCGAGTGGAGTGAATCGCACTGTGCGGACCGACGTCGTCGTTCGCGTGCCACGTACACACACACACACATACACGCGTGCGCGCGCACCACACACTGTCGTCCGCGAAAATCCGACGCCCGTCRCACCGATAGTGAATCGGTGAAACGCCACACGGGTCGGTGTTTTAGGTTTTTTTCGTCGCATTTGTTTCGTTAAAAAAATTTACGCTCGCGGTCGTGCGTGGACCGTCGTCCCACTCGGTGTCGATCGTTTAACCGTCGGAAAATTTTTGATTTTCAAATATTAAATTGTCRCGCGCTCCGTATTTGCACGTCGCTGTTATCTTGTCCGTGCGCGCCTCCGTGTGTTTGTATGCGAAATAATCTCGGTTGCGTCGCGCTCGTGGTTTTCCTTTCGACCGCGACCAAGGTATAATATTAATCGCTCTTTTTTTCGAAAGTGTCGGTACCTGTGAAATCCGGCCGAGGTCCCACCGTCAGCATTTGCGAATTCTCATATTCGAAAATTCATCTTCGTCCAGCTGATGACTGCAGACTCGACGGTAAGTGACAACCATATTAACATTATAATTATTACCTATCTATTCACTTGGTTATTATGATTTTTTTATTTTATGATTTCGTCATTACATCGTATTTTGTTATTGATGCATGTAGGTAAAAGTTATACCCATACGTATCGCCTACTTTGCTTCGTTATTTAAATTTTGTTATTTTATAATAAATTCCGTCATTGTTGTTACTTGTTCATGTAGGTAGTCAAGAATTATAYCCGAGGTATTGCTGAAAACAATTCAATACTATTGAGTATTGCCACGCGGGAGTTTTTATCTACCAAGTTTTTATGCAGCAGCGTTTTTTTTTGTCGTTTTTGTTTTCGCGCTGCCTTCCGAACAAATAGACCATATCTACCAAAAAAAAAAAATTACATTATCTGCCGTTGTCGTGTAGGCGCTTGCATTATAAATTCGTCACCGTTTTCGTTTGACGAGAAACTAGTGTTACTTTTACCGTTTTCTGCGGTGCTTACGTCGTGTATAGTTCGAGATTCGATTTTTTGTTAGATTATTCCTTTCTATACCTGTTGTCGAGCTGTTGTTATTTKATCATAAATCMACCCCAGGAAAATCTATTAGGTCCTATTCAAATAATCAAAAATAGGTTTTTCGTGTGTATCAATTATTGATGTATCGATAACAATATACGGAACTTATTGCAATCATAACTATAATATATTTGGTCAAAAACGGTCAGAGATGAAATTTTCTCATAGTAATCAAGTGTCAAACATACTCTCAGATTTCGACTGACTTTTATTATCTTGTGTGTTTCTTACGAAAATGGTATTATGACGTGGTACTGTGGTGTGTGGTAGCCGAGGTGGTAGCATAAACAATTTCGATCCCGTTCAGATTTCCTTGGCCCGTTCGATTTGTGCATATCTTACCTTAATCCATTGAATAGTAGGTACCTAATTATAAACTTTTGTTACTTCCGCTGTTAATACAAGTGATTAAATAATATTATTGTTGGTGGAAAAAGCCATGGTGTTATAAATTTATATTTATATTATTTAAATTTGTTATAATAGAAACGTATTATGTATAAACATTTTTTTTATTCAACACTATTTCACGATATTGCTTTTTTCGATACATTTCTGTCATAATATGTTTTGTTAATAGGTTACCAATAAAACCAAAAAAGTAATCAAATTGACAAAACATCTGTGGCATGAAATACCAAATCATATATTAGTTCAATAAATAATAATATATAATACCTACTTTTATTTTATTTTGTAGTTTCGGTTTTAAATTTATAATAACTTTTTGAGGTCATCTATTATTATTATGTATTATACCTAACAATTTGGATAAGTTATACAATGTATGTTACATTTAATTTACTAATATTAGTAAATTTTATGTATTTGACATTTTTCTAAGTTGTCCATAATCGTTGTTCTTGTTATACTGACAAAATTATTATACAATTCATCAAATTATAGTAAGTTCTTAGTTTTCTTACTTAGAACAATATTGAATAAACTAATATTAGGTTATTAATTTTTAAATTTTAACTTTTAACTTTTATTTGGTCTTTGTTTTCTTTGACTTACAGTTAGAAAATAATTAAATATGAAAAAGATTAATTTAATATATAGGTACATAATACGAGTACAATCAACAATGTACCTATGTCCTATATACTTTTTTTTTGATGGACGATTACGGATTACGTTTAAATGTCGGTAAATATGAAGTTGTGATATAATATATATATATTGATTGATTTATTATAAAAATTATATCATTGTATGAACACAACATTTGTGAAAACTTCTGCCACACTCATGAGTCATGAAACATTTGAATTTAAATTTGATGTACAACAAACCAAATAACTTAGTGATTATTTTAATGTTTGAAATTTGAAGCACCTATATCCACCTAATTCTTTAGATAATATTTAAATTTTTGCGTTTCACGACCTAAAAATTGGAATTTAATTGTATAATAAATATAATTGTATGTATAGATACTGTAAATAAGTTAATTCAATACACACCTGTTGCCCGGATTTTTTCTCGGACTCGCGCCGGCGTCATATAATAACTCATTAATTCTTACGTAGCTACTATATAAATCGTAATAATTATACGCTAACAAATAATCAAACTAAACTTCGATTAATTATTGGGTAAAATACTAACTATTGGTACTCTTCACTGGGAAATTCATGATCATGTGACATGTATATAAAATTCAATCTCTATAATATTGTTAGTATAGGTACCCTAATTCATTTCTAAAGTTTGATTTGGTACCAAAATCAAAGGTAAACTTCTCAGATTTTTTTTAACTTAACTATAAATCAATATTCAAGTCGTTATAAGTACCTACGTCCTACTTAGCTTAGAAATTAAATATTATATGTTGATAAATATATATATTATTCTATTAAATTGTATTATTTCGTTTAAATAATTATGTTATTATTATGTCTAAAATAATTACATGTTTATGTTAATTAAAAATTTGGTAATTATTTTCACAATAATMATTATTTAAAATTGGGTATTTACCTATATTTTTTGTAGGTAAATACCTAATGAATAATCCCCCCACCCATTCACAACCATAAGTAATTTGTATCTCTGATTAAATTGTTATGGCAGTTGCTTAATAATTGATAAGCATTGTATAAATTGTAAACAAAGCATTTTTCAATATTTAAAAAAAAACATTATTTGTAAATAATTTAAAAGTATGTACTAAATACTTGCGTATTTTTTTTTTGATCAATTTTGTATGATATTCAATCCTTTCATTTTATACACACATTTATTACCTTGTATGCAAGCGGCTAACCAATGTATTTATTTATGACATAAATATACTTTTTAATAATTTATATCTTTATCGAGTTTAACGAGAGACAGTTGTGACATTGTCCAATGTTCAGTTTATTGATAAAATGCGTTTACAACATAATACTCCCGAGGGCATACATAAACATAATGTGGTTTATCTTAGTTTCTTTTTCGATGAGAGGGTTGTGCCAGTGTCATCAACATTAGGACTTCTTGGGATGGCATGGCTGTCGCTATTGACGGTAATTTGATGGCCTTTGAAAAGCAGTAATTTTGTAGAGGTTTATTCAATACTTTTGTGACTATACTGAGTATAGCCTATAATTATTGATAGGTTCACTGATAAAACATAATATAATTATTAAAAGGGTGAGGTATAATCTAGTATGATCATAATTTATTTTTCATAGTTAGTTTATCTATTTCTGTAATTTCTCAAGTACATATTACTAGTGTAGTATAGTATATGCGATACATGGTTTTGTAGGTACATTGTGTACATACACGTATTAATGAATCTCAGTCTTCTCCAATATAGGGTGTTTCAAATTTGTGAAAAAAAAAAGAATAATAGTGTAAAACAATTTTTTGCTTTAGGAAAATATACGTACCTACGCGTATCTAATTTAGTAAAAGAAAACTAACGCGGGAATGGAGAATCGTTAAAAAACTATTTTCTCTCATTCGTATATACGGGTCAATGGCCGCCACCCTCTTTGTGTGCATCGTTCTCTTCGTCATCACATATACAATTATTATATTATCCTCACCATGTTTCATAAACGTGGCTATAAAGAATATACAGCAATAATGCAATACAAGTAATTTTTTTTTTCTTAATTCTTTGTCGTAATTTTTAATCATTTTAAATTATTATATAATCTAAATAAAATCAGTTGTTGTTTTCGTTTATGTGAATTGCAAAAAATTAAGTAGTCGAAGGTATATCTATACTGACGTTATATTATATAATATCTAACAGTTCGAAGGGATACCTATTGTAATTTGAAGGTGACAGTTGGTAAAATTTCAAACTTCGGTACCTAGTCGGTTTATAGTTTACACAAACTTCATTACTACTACAAGTCATTATTTTACAATTCGAATTCACGTATAATATTATTATAATATTTTATTACAATATTATGAATGTGGAAAATAAAGTATTATAAAAATATTAAAATTATCTATACACGTAATAATARAATAATAATTACAAGCTTAAACAAAATAAGTTTTCAGCATTACCATTGATTAAGTATGACAACACTAGTAAAAATAACTTATTTTATTATTCTTATTGAACTTGCACATTAAAGTAAATGTCAAATTCATAATAAAATCATACAAAGCGAAATAAAGAATGTTTATTCTATATTCGTTTACTCGAATCTTATAAATTCATATTTCAAAAAGCACTCGTTCAGGTCATTCTATGAGTATTAAGAATAGAACAAGTGAAAATTTTTTATTTAAATCGCGATTTCGTTATATTTCTTGTCTTGCAGGCAGACGATAGTTATTTGTCCGTAAAACCGTTTATCGTGTTTACAAATCCGACTGTTCCCCATTAAACTTCGTGTAAACTCTGCTTTTTGTGTACAAGTTCAATCGTGAACATTTTAGTTGTTAATGTAAAATGCATTACTTTCGACTTTCAATACTTACAAAATAATAGTAATAATGATAATAAAAATATATGTTTCGGTCTTACCACTCTTACTGATACATTAAGACGGGGGAGCGTACTCGTATTATAGTAATAATAATATATTTTAGTTTTTCCTTTCGTTAAATTCAGCGACGTTACGGATAAGAGAGAACGCCGCCGCATCCGACATGGAAACTTGATCGTTCACCATCGTCGAGTCGTTTTTTTCGTTCCCTTCTCCTTTTACCCTACCCAAACACATGACAGTTACGTCGGCGTGGCGGTGGCGTTGGTTCGGTGCCGGCGGAGATATTATATTATTATATTCTTCTTTCCTCTCCAATCGTCTCGTCCTTTAGTGCGACACGTCCATTGTCTTTCTCTCGCACTGCGAAATACAGACGGTACATGTGTATACATATATACGCGGGTGTTCCGCGATACATTTCGCTTCCACAAAAAAATATAATAATATAAAAATGTTATAATGCYCGAACTTTTTTCAAATGATTCCA